ACGGTAAAATCGAGAGTGTATTCAATACCATGCTAGCCTACCGTGCCTACCTGAATGCTTCATCTAATTCCATCTATCCATCAAACATCCATCAATCACTCCATTCAATTGTTCTTCGCTTAGTCGTAGCTTGGTCGTGGAGTAGGATCCATCCATCATTAACCAGTGTAGGAGGCCGTTATGTCATACTCCCCCCATGAAGCAATCACACTAGCACGGGAAGATGCGACGAATTGATAGCCGTTGCGTCGTCGACCCCTTGTCAATAGTGACGGTTCCATTTTCATGCACAATGCTAATGGGGTAGGGTCCATCTGCCACTTCCTTATCCTTTGCGCGAAACTGTTTAGGTCTTCGAATCATTATGTGGTCGCCGGGATGGTAAAAGTGCACGAGCCGTTTGGTATTTTCGCGTGTGTTGTCAGCTAGGATAGCCCGAAACCGCCGTTTTGACAGGTAGCTCCAATTTGCTTCGTGCAGTTGGCGTGAAATCATGTCTTGTCCAAAAATGAGTTGTCCTGGAGATGCATTGAGTATGACATGATAGCTCGCACGCACTGCAAAAGCGGCGTAATTAATGACCTTCTTCCAATCTGTGCCTGTGTGACAACGGATGACGTTCAATAGCTCCAGATGCACACGCTCACAGATCGCATTCGCTTGCGGATTCTTTGCTGTTATTGGCTTTGATTTCAGGCCGTAACTGCGCAGTAGTTCCTGGAATTCTTCTCCTGTAAACTCCAACCCTTGGTCATGGACAACTTGTAGTGGACGCGGATAGCGGCAAAGCCACTCACGATCAAAGCTTTCAGCCGTCGTCGGCGATTCTTTATTTGGCTGCACAGCAACTTCCAGCCACCGAGTAGCTTGATCAATCATAGTTATCTCGTAATAGCCGCCGTCGTATGGTCCGATAAGATCAACGTGTACAATATCGAATGGGTTGACGGTTTTATTGGTCCGTGGTGGTAGAAGTCCGTAGGCTTGTTTCTCTCCGTGTAATTTCGAGCGCTTGCACTTGATGCATTTGCGAACAAACTTGTCGATCGTTGTTTCCATGTGCGGCCAGTAGAGGTATGCATCGTTTTATGTTGTCGATGAATTGCTGGATGGCCGAGATTTATGTGGTACCAGTCGATCAGGTCATCACGAAGACTGTCAGGGACGATTACTCGGTGTTTGTAAACAACCATGGTACATCCCAAGAGAACCTGGAGCTGATAGTCTGGGTTATTGGTACCGGCTAGACATGCTGCTTTGATCGATGCGATCATTTCATCGTTCTCTTGGTGCTGGTAGATCACTGGACCGTGCATTACGCACTCTGGTGTCGTATTGATCCTGTAAACTTCGTCGTCGATTGATGTACCTTCACTGGTTGCAAATCGCATGCGTGAGAAAGCATCTGCTCCGATGTTCTTCTCGCCTTTAATATAGGTCATTGTCAGGCGATACTCAGAGAGGAGTAACTTCCATCGCTTCACTCGAAGACTTTTCTCATTGGGGTAAATCAAGTTTTTGTGATCCGTATGGACCACGACGGGAAATCCGAGGAGCATCGTTCGGTATTCGCGTAACAGCTCAACGATTGAAAGGAGCTCCAGCTCCATGGTGGTATAGTTGATCTGGTGCTTGGTGAGACTGAGCGAGTAACGTGCCAGAATTTTGTTGCCTTGCATTATCATTCCACCGATCTGAGTTCTGCTAGCATCCGCGTAGACATGGAACGGCTCCTTAAAGTTAGGGAACGCTAACAGGACGACCTCTGCAAACGCACGCTTGATGTCGTGAAAGGCCTTCGTATCGCTGGGTAGCCATGTAAAGGGTACCTTGGCGCTTGTAAACCGATATAGCGGCTTGCATACGGTTGTCTTGTTCGGAATCATGTCGCGGTAATAGTTGATCATGCCTAAGAAACGTTGAAGCTCTTTTCAGTTGCGTGGCACTGTGATCTTCTGAATGGCCTGGGTTTTCTTTTTCTTGAGGCTTCATTCCATCGGCCGATAGCGTAAACCCAAGTTAATCAACCTCCTTGCACCAAATATGACACTTTCTTCCATTTAGCGAAACGCCGTAGGTCTGCAGTCGCTCGAAGAGGATGCGCAAATGAGAGAGATGGTCTTCGTCTGTACTGGAAAATACTAGCAGGTCATACAGATACACCACGATGAATAGCAGGTCACCAAAGATACAATCCATGCACGCTTGGTATTCGTCTGGGGCTGTCGATATACCCATCGGTAGTCGCTTGTTTTGATATTTGCCGAAGGGCAAACAAAACGCTGTCAATGGGCGGCTTGTTCGAGCTAGTCGTCGGGCATAGTATCCATGGTTTTCGTCGAACGTTGAAAGACACCTTGCGTTGGACAAACGCATAAGGATTTCTCTAATGCGCGGGACGTAGTATGAGCTCCTTTGTAGATACTTGTTAAGCCCACGATAGGCGTTAAGCAGACGCAGTGAACCATCTGTCTTGGAGACGAAAAACGCGGGTGATGCCATCTGTGCGTCATAAATTTGCTCTAGAACGTCAGCACTGATAAGCCGCTGAATGGTCTCCTTGGCTTTGCTTTCCTGGCTGCGCGCGATGGGGTAGGTCTTTGAATGAACGGGCTTGTAATCCGGTTGGATAGGCAGCTCGTAGTCCGGAAAGCGCATTCGTCCAAGATGTCCGTCGTAAAGCCTTTTGTACTCGATTAGTAATGCCAAGCATTTAGTCTTCATGTTGGGGTCAAGATGATGAGGAAAGAAAGTCTCTGGCTGGACTCCTGTTGTGGGTGTTTCCTTCATTTCGTCTTGAAACTCGAGGTCTTCGTTGTCCACCTTGGGTCTTTTCGATTTCTCTTGCCCTGTGTTTAGCCGGAGCAAGCAGTCTTCCCATTGCACCAACCTGTCTTTGAAGTTCAAAACCAGTCCTAGTGCATTCATGACATCTCTTCCAATAACCATGTTATCGCTGCTCGATTTAATCACTTCGAATTGGTGTGTGACGATTGTGTCTGGCTTTAGTTGTGGGAAGAAGAATAGTGTCACCACCGTTCCATTGCTTGGTACTGCGCCGCGCATAGTGTCAAAGATAGTGGGTGATGTCGTAACATTCTGTCGACCCGGCTTCACAATATTAGCAAGTGTCGCACCATTGACAATACTCTTAGATGCTCCACTGTCGAGCAGAGCTTCGATAGCATCTTGATTGCGATGCAGCTTGACCATGATGCGTAATGGTGCACTGGTAACAGTTCTGTCCTTTTCCACTAAACCAACGAACTTGAGCTCTTGCTCTTGCCCTGCCGCATCCGATTCTGACTCCGATTCGGAGTCAAGATTATCTCTTCTTGAGATGCGGGGGTACTTCGGGTTCAGTGTGCGATGTTTGTGCGACCGTGCTTCGTTTTTCTTGTTCTCCTCCGATTGCTTTTTCTTCAAAGTATAACAGTCACTCGTATTGTGCGAAGCTGTCTTGTGAAACGAACACCAAGTGTCACGTTTGTGATGGTTGTCTCCTCGACTGCGTGCCTTTTCCTTAGGCTCTTCTCGCCGGTTCTTCTGTACTTCCCGTTGCCCGTGTACTCTGCGCTGAGTCTTTCTCTGCATGTTGCTGTATTCGTTAGTGTTTGGTTTCTTGTCACGGGTGATCGGCTGTCGCTCGTCTTTTTCGATCCGGGTGAAATACAGGACAAGTTCATTGAGGTGGTCGAATACGACTCCTGCTGCAGACAACTTATCTTGCCATGCTCGGGGCATTCCGCGCTTGAAGTAGCGACATTGCTGAACCTCCGGAATTTCTTCAGCATTCTGTGGCAGCTCAGCAAACAACCGAATGTTTTCTCTGAGTCGCTGCGAGAATTTGAGCACAGTCTCATCTCGTCGCTTCACCATTGTCCATAGTTCGTTGTCCAAGTCTTCACTGTAGTCGTGCGGGATAGATAGTAATCCCACATCCGTAAAGAACTGTTCAAAAGTCCTTCCGTGCTCAACTACGTCTTGAGCTATCACTTCGACTTCCGTTGCGAGGTTGCCGTCAATAAGCGCGACCATGTTGTGTGCCTTCTGCTCATCGGTCCACTGCTTCTTTCGGGCGAGGCGACGAAATTGGTTGCTCCAGCGAAGCCACTCACGTGGGGATCCTCCTGCGAACTTCTTGATCTTGGTTGTTGCCGTATCGGCGGGGAAGTCGGCACTTGCGGGTGTTATCACCATGGTGTAGGTGACGTCAATTCAATTCCCGAGCTCCTAATATGCCTTCCATCGAAAGGATACCGCTCTCGCGTGTGGCGCCGAAATCTGTCGATGCAAAACTTCCAGTCGAGCCATAGCGTATATGAACGCAATGCAGAATCGAAAAGCTCGGCCGCGCTAGATCCATCGATCGTACATCGCTATCTAACTGACATGGAGGAAAAGTTGTCGCTTTCGCTGCCATACATTAAGCCACGGGCGCGTTTCCGACCTCAACTTAAACGGCTATTTCCATCCACACAGCCATCCGTTTACTTCGTCCTCCGTTGCTTCGCATGCGCTCTTCAGTCCGTCAAGAGCTGTTTACTTTTTCCTGTTCCGCCGACAGGTGTAAAACATCAGTTAAGTGTCAACGACATGTACTGCGGAAACAATGGGCTCGTCCAGCGCACTCTCTTGCAAAGAGCAGAAGGGAAGAAAACGGTAACTTGTACCCCGAGACAACAAGTCATCATCACATCCACCCGACACAAAAAGAAGACGCCGTCGTCATTAAACCCAAGTCGTGTCCCTCCGCTCGCTGCGACAAAACGCCGACGCCGTCAACCTTCGAGCAACAATCGCCTCCCACATCCTCTATACGTATCAATGTATGTATACCCACGAGCGTCACTGCCACCACACCAAACCGCGATCGTCACAAATAGTACTACTCAAAAGTAGTAGTAGTAGTAGTAGTAGCACTACTACTACTATTATCCGCCCCGGCAGCCCCAAACTACTACTACTACAACAACTACTACTATTCTTACTCGCCCATCATGTTCGCGCGCGTCCGCCAGTGCCGCCCGTTCCCCACGCGCTTCGGACGCGCCGCCGCCGCTGCTGCTGCTCCCGCCTCGACCCACTCCGTCCCCACTGCGCGCCTCGACTACAAAGCGCTCGCCGCCAACGTCGACGCCGCCGTGCGCAACGCCCGCCGCCGCGCGAGCGCCAGCGACCCCGCGCTCGTCGTCGCGCTCTACACGCGCGAGACGGCGCTCCGCCAGACCGTAAACCGCCTGCGCGCCCAGCGCAACGCGCACGCAAAAGCGCTCGGCCGGCACAAGACGCGACAGCCACTGGACGAGCACATGACGCAGCAGCGGCTCGCGGGCCACGCGCTGAAGCGCGAGATCGCCGCCGCGGAGCAGGAGCTCGTGCGCGTGGCGCAGGCGCTGGCGCTCGAGGCGCTCCGGCTGCCGAACGACACGCACCCCGACGTGCCCGTGGGCGCCGACGACCAGGCGCGCGTCGTCGCGTCGCACGGCCGCATGCCCACGTTCGCGTTCGTGCCCAAAGACCACTACGACTTGGCCGTGCCGCTGGCGCTGCTGGACACGGAGACAGCGGCGCGCGTGGCCGGGTCCAAGTTCACGTACCTGTGCAACGAGGGCGCGATGATGGAGCTCGCGCTCGTGCACTGGACGCTGAGCAAGCTGCGTGCACGGGGCTTCACGGTCACGCTGCCGCCCGACGTGGCGCGCGCTCAGCTGATCGAAGGCTGCGGCTACCAGCCGCGCGGCGACGCGACGCAGATGTACGCGCTCGCCGACTCGGACTTGTGCCTCACGGCCACGTCGGAGATCACACTGGCTGCGGCCAAGAGCAACGAGGTGCTCGACACGCAGACGCTGCCGCTCAAGTACGCGGGCTTCAGCCACTGCTTCCGGACCGAGATCGGCCACGGCGGGCGCCACACGCGCGGCATCTACCGCATCCACCAGTTCAGCAAAGTCGAGATGTTTGGCTTCTGCGCCGACGAGGCGCAAGCGCAAGCGTTCTTTGACGAGATGGTCGACATCCAGGTGGGCATGTACACCGAGCTCGGGCTCCACTTTGAGCTCCGGGACATGGCCACGGAAGACTTGGGGGCGCCTGCGTACCGCAAGTTCGACGTGCTCGCGTGGATGCCCGGTCGGCAGGAGTACGGCGAGGTCTCGAGCTTGTCCATGTGCACCGACTTCCAGGCCCGTCGTCTGAACATCCGCCACAAAGACCTGCACGACAAGAGAGCGAAAGCAGCGTTTGTCCACACGCTGAACGGCACTGCCTGCGCCGTCCCGCGGCTGCTCATTAGTCTGTGGGAGACGTACCAGCAGGTAGATGGCTCGATCGTCATTCCAGATGTGCTCAGGCCGTACATGGGTGGCCAGGAGATCATTCGCTCGCCTGCGTAAAGCAGCTCGCTACTGCAGGACGGACAGACCATAGTAGATAGAGACGACGACAGGCGAGTGAGGTGTGTGTGCCCTCTCGAATAGACGTCATCGTGTTTGGACGTTGCGCTGTTGGGGCCCGTTGCTGCTGCTGCTGCTGCTGTTGCAATTGCTGATCGGCGATGCAGCTTCGGTGCATTCATTCATTCATTCATCGGTTCGTGTAGTCCATCGCACTGCTAGCGTCCGTCTCGTCCTGGACGCTGTGGGTCAGGCTGTTGTGGCCCGCAGCTGCCCGCACGTAGAGCACGCCTCGAATGCAGTCCCGAACGTCAAACGACTCGAAGCGACCGCTGGCTGTGAGCACATAGACCTGCGTCGCCGTGGCAGCAGTAATGGTACCGGACAGCACGCATTCGTCCTGGCGTTCGCGACCGCTAGCTGCTTTTGTATGCCGGCGCTTGAGCACTTCGATCTCCTGTCCTTCCTGTAGCATGTGTGGGTTATAGTGCAGTCGAGGCCGTCGAGACGTCGCTGCAGTGTTTGCAGTCCTGTGCACCGGTGTCATTGATGCAGGAACGGCAGCTCGTGATGCGTCTCGTACTGCCCTCGGCGTCCCCATCATCCGCCGCTGTCGCTTCGGCTTCTTCACCTGCTCCTTCTCCTCATCGTTCGTTTCAACGTGCTGCTGCTGTTGCTGCTGTAGCGCTGCCTTGTGCCTCTGATACCGTGTCGTCCTGCCTGTCGTCTCCACCTGCGCCTGCTGCATCGAGAGAGCGCTTTGGATCGTCTCGAGGTCCTCAGCCACTTCGCTCGCAGCCACGTGCTGCACCACTGGCTGGAACACTGACGCCCGACCCAAGAGCCGCTCGAGCCACTTCTTCTCCTGCAACTGCGCGCGGTGCGCTTGTTCTTCCCCAGACGTCGTGGCCCACAGCCCGCGCCCGACAGCCCGTCGATCGTCCTCGTCCTCGTCTTCTTCGCTCGTGTACATACTCCGTCGTCGCCGCACGCCGAGTCCGCTCGCGGCCGACCGCGCGACCGAAACGCCACTGCGGCGCGCGTCGTCGCGCACGGCCCGTCGTCGACGACTCGTGACGCTCACGCCGTCTTTGGCCGTCTGGAGCCGCCGGAGCTCCCGTTCCATGTCGGCGTTCATCGCGCGCTGAAGCTCACCACAGCGACGCGCGTACGCTGCGCGCGCCTTCTCACTGGCGTACAGCAGCACGTGGTGCGCGGCGGTCCGTCGACGCGCGAGCGCCGCGTGGGCAGCGGCTACACGCGCCCGCCGCGTCGCCAGCAGCAGCGCGCGGCCAAGTCGGAAGTCCGTCGCGCTCTCGCGCTCGAGTCGCCGCTCGGCGTCGGTGAGTGACGCGACGTGGCGCTCGGGACGGGACACGGGCGGAGGAGACGGAACAGTGGCGTTGTCTTGAGTGGACGTCCGACTGCTGTGGCTGCTGGCGCTGCTGTTGCTGGCGCTGGACAATAACGAAAGCGACAGAGACGACGAGGAGGTCAGGACGTTGGGCGCGAGCGGTGTGTGGCACTGCGGCGGTGCGTCGTGGCGGGCGAAGGCGCTGGTGGACTCGATCGACGGTGCCACATCCATGGCTTGTTGACGCTTGAGGCCCATGCGAGGGTAGAGGTCCCGCGCACTTGCTTAAGTTGACGCGCGCGGTTCTCGCGTGGTAGACACGAAATAGATCGAGTGAGTGAGAGTGAGGTGTGAGTTTGTACGACCAGATACATGTGAATGGGCCGTGGTCCAGCGAGATCGAAACGCGTGCAACAGGTGACACCTGCAAGAGCTAAAAACAGCTTTTCTTGAAAGTCGCTATGGTTTCCTCGACGGAGCGCGTGCGCACGCGACTGCTGCTCGCTTGTCCGTCTACGTGCGACGTTTGTGCAGCGCGCGCTCAAAACACGCACGTAGTTTCTGGAACTCTTTCTCACACGCCTGACGGGGCACGCGTCCTTGCACGTCGGCAACGCAGGTGCCGTACACTTGGATCTAGACCGGCAGAAAAAAACACATTTTTTGCAAGTGTTGTTTAGTCGGGTTTCCACTGCAATACTCATGTGGAGAAAAAAAAGGGCTTGGGCAATGAATGTCAAGAGGACCATGGCCCTGCGGCCACGACCTCTCGAGCGTGCGTTACATCGAGTGGACAGTCGCCAAGCATGTGCAAAAAGAGTTTGCTCATGCGCACGGATGTCTTTGCGGTCGTGGCATGGCGGCTTCCAGTCGTCATCGCTCGATCCTTGCGCAATTGTCGAATTTACCAACGCGAAAAGTTCACTTACGAGTCGAAAAGTGTACAATAATCCGTCCCAAGTTCACCTACAAGTCGAAAATTGCACAATGATCCGTTCCAAGTTCACTTGTAAGTCGAAATTGTACAATGATCCGCTCCAAGTTCACGTACAAGTCGAAATTGTACAACGGTCCGCTCCAGGTCGAGCCATTTTTCTGTTTCAAGTGACGCGCGACTGTCACGGGCACACAGCACTTTTTAGGTCCAGCAGTGCCGACAAACGCAATGGACTTCGAGTTGCCTGCAAACCTTCAGTCGCCTTGCTGTCCTCTCTCCTCGTTCGTCTTGCGCCACAAGCGCTGGCAATACTTCTTGACCGTCGCAGCTCAAGAGTTACGAAGCTGCACGAGCAGCTGCTGTGGGGGACAGAACGGCTGGCGTGACATCGTCAGACTCTGGTTGTGCTTCCGGAGCGGACGAGCTTGGCGTCTCTGTATCAGCAGCATCAACAGCGGCGATAGACGACTGTCCTTCTGTTGCTTCATCCAGTTCGTCCTCAGTGGATGGCAACACAACCCCATCTGCAATAGCAGTCTCGACGATTTCATCGGTAGCTGCGCCAGCTCGAGGAGCCGCAGTGTCTTGTGGTGTAGGTGCTAACGGGCCATCCTGCGTGCTGCCGTCGTTCTTGACGTCAATTTGCACACGGGCGACGGGTTCTTGCAGTTGCTGCATAATACTCTTCGTGCTAGACTTCAGCACCTTTCGAATGGCCGTAAGCACTTGTTTGCCATCCACAGCTGTCTCTTCTTCGAACAGGTCCTGGAAACGGAAGAACATTTCGTTCACAGACTCTTTGAAGAGAGCCATCAATTTCTCACGCTCCTCTGCACCTCCACCAGAACGCGCGGCTACGGCTAGCATATCTTGCGCCTCGCGCTTGATCGCCTCCGCTGTAGCTAACGCATGCTCTGCTGCCAGCTCACGCTCCTTCATAGCCTCGAAATGCTCGCGCTCGCCCTCGACGCCGTTATCAAGTCCTTGAGGGTCAGGGCTGCAAGCCGATAACCGACCGGATGCCAATGCCTCCTGCACTTGCTCAAACTTCTCTTGCTCCAAGTCTCTTATTCGCTGGTGCAATAGTTCGATCTGCTCAACAAAAAGGCGCTTCTCTTCGGCTGCCAGCGCACCGTCTGCTGTATCATTTGCATCTGATGTCGTCACCTTCGACGCAAGCTCCGCCTCCAGCTCGTATATGCGTGCTGACGATACATCCATCTTGCCGACAATGTCCTGGTTTTCTTGCTGCAGCTGGGCAACCTGCAACGCGGCCATTTCCAACTGCCCTTTCGCGTCTCGTCCATGTGCTTCACTCTGTGCTACTAAATGCTGCGCCTGCTCCTCTGCATGAGCTTGCAATCGCAACATATCGTCATTTGCCTTCTGCAGTTGCGTCTGAAGCGAGCGCACATGCTGCTCCAATTGAGCAGTTGCAGTGGACAGCTCGGAAGCTTTCACTTGCAGAGCCACATCGTGCTGTTTCTTTGTGAGCGTCAACTCCTGCTCCGCCAAAGACCGGGCCTGCGTTTCCTTCGCCAACTCTTTTTCAGCTCGCGAGCGGGCTTCGCGTTCAAAGATCAGAGCCTGCTTATGTTCCTCCGTCTCGTTACTGGACCCCTGTTGCTGCTGAAGCTGATAGTAAGCTGTCAATAATTGCTGATACTCTGCGTGCAAGCGGCTCGTCTGCGTGACTGCAGCGTCCCGTGCGCTCGCAAGAGAAGCTAGCTCGGAAGTGGCATTCAGCTGCGAGCTTGCAGCAGATTGGAAACGCTCCTGCAGCATACGCTTCTCGTCTTGCAGACGCTTGTTCTGTTCCAAAAGCTCCTCGCAACGCTTCTCGTATGATGACTGCTGCTGGTGCTGCGAATTGATCTGAGTCAAGAGTCGATCGTTTTCGCCTGCGAGTCTCTCCACACCACGAATCACCGCAGCAACATCACTCGGACCTGCACCGACACCATACGCCGCGTTGGACGATGACGTGCCTGGCGCCATGCGAATGAGGTAGTCCACTTTGGCATTCAATTCCGATAGCGCCGTGTCGACAGGGCGTCCTCCGCCCCGCGCGTTGCCATCGAATAGTGTAGAAGAGCCCGTGAAGTTGCCATGAAAGCCGCCGCCACCCATGCCGTAGCCCATAGACCCAAAGCCACTGCCATTTCCAGCAGCACCCATCCGATCGCGCTCGAGCGCTCGCATCTGTAGCTCCAACTGTTGCTCGCGCTGAAGTAGCCGCAGCTCCTTGAGCTCCATATCGCGTTTCGCAGCGGTGCTGTCTTCGTCATACGGGACCATGTCTCCATTCCCTGCTTCGTCGTTTCGAGTACGGGAACCACGTGTCACGTTCGGACTGGCCGACGTTGCTGCAGCAGTAGCGACTTTGCCGGCAGAGCTTGAACTCGACCGTCGACGTGACGCCTTCCGACCCAACGACGCCTCGGACGCCTCTTCCGTTGCAGCTGGGGTGTCCACAGCCGTCGTCACAGCTTTCTTTTGCGTTGCGCCGTGTCCTGTCTTGGTCTTGAGCAATTCAATCTCGAGCAAATACCAGTCCTGTCCGTTTGTTTTTCCCGGCGGGACCAACACCATGCGCTTGCCGCCCTTCTTCATGCCCACAATGCTCTCTTCCAGCGCTTTGATCCGTTCGGTGCTGTCCCCGAGTCGAATCTTGCGCAAGTCGCGCTCGCCTGCTTTCTCAAACGGAGCGTACTTGGTTACAACGTCGCCGGGCGCCGAGGCGGCGTTCCCCACGACGCGCCACGCACGAAACGCGACGGCCACTGTGTCGCCATTATGCACCGGCAGCGCGTCGGATGATACAAACACCAAGTCGTCGGAAATCAGTGCCCGCGGGTTCGTCTTGGTCACGGTCTTGTCCGCGCCCCAGATCTCGACGTGGATCTTCGCTAGAAACACCTGCCGCATGAACGCCGCGACCTGATCGTCGCTGGCAAACTTGACCGACCAGTTCCCGCCCTTGTCGTCGTAAAAGTTGACGTAGCTCTTGGCTTGCAGCGTCGGCTGGAACGTCGCGAGCGAGAGCGGCACTGCACACAAGTGCTGCTTCGCGGCGTTGTAGAACAGCAGATTGTACGACGCCGTGCTGCCGACAATGACGCACCCAACGGCCGCCTTCGTGCCGGTCGTCGCGCCTCCCTGCTGCACGTACGTGCGGGTCGTCGTGTCGTATTGATAGAGCGAGACCATTGTCGAGTACACGACCGAAGACGCCGTCGACGCGGCGGCTGGCGCTGTGGTCTGTTGTTGCTGCTGCTGCTGCTGTTGCTGCTGGTGCGACGGCTCGCGAGGCGCCGTGTACCGCAGCGCGTCGTTGCCGCCGCCGGCGCCGGACGCGTCCTGGAAAATGCCATTCAGTCGGGCGCTCGGGTCTTTCGACGACGACATGAGCTGAGTATAGTGGTATTGGTATTATTCGCGAGTGAGGAGGAGGACGAGGACGGGGAGATAATTGAGGGCGGGCTTGTATTTCGAGTGTTTGTGGCGATAAAAGACCCAGGATGTGTTTTGGTCCGTGTGCGAGGGGTGGGTGGGTGGGTGAAGGGATGTGGCGTATGTACGCGCGTACTTTGGCAGTCCGGGCGTTTGAGGGAACGAGGGTGTTTTTGTGCAGGATTGGGACGTGGGTGTGTTTTTCTGTTGTAGAGGTGTTTGCGACTATTCGATGTCAGCGGAAAAGCGAGCGTGGTATGTTGCTGATTGACGAGTCGGTTTTGGTAAGACATGGGGTCATTTTGTTTACGTGGTTGCGCAAGAAACGAAGCTTTTTCGTGTGGATTCAGAAATAAAGCAGACAAGCTGTGACACAATGACACGCCTTGTATGCGGCGTTTGCATCCAAAATCGGGCGATGACACACGTGTCATTTTGCTTGAAATCGCATTCTACTCTAGTCTAGCGTCTACAGCATATGACACGAGGACGGAGAAAGACTGGCTACGAGTGAAATGTCTAGTTAGCGGCCATCTGGCCATGTTGCAAGGAACATGTGTCCGTAAAGACCACATGTATGATCTGTCGATTAGGAGTACGCCGGACATGTTATAGAACCTATACTGGTTTTGAATATTTATACATCTATAACTGCATCTCATGATTGAGATACATAGATCTAATGTTCATTGCCCCACCATACAGAAATCCGGAATAGCAGCAAAGATTATTATCGGATCATTGATTGATGATAGACCGAGTCAACTCATCTATATCGACGTAACGATGGTCTCATGCTTTTCTGATGGCAGTACAAGCAACTGAACACAATAGTGTACACACTGTTAGGTGCAGAAGAAGCGCAGTCGACTAGAATAACCAAGCTTAGACGAATCTATAAAGGGGCTCAGTTCGAATTAATGAATGCTGAATACAACTTATTGTAAAAGAAACGGCGTGAAGTACATTTGCTTCAAACGTCTATGCTAGCCTCTCGCTTAGCGCTCATTGCACACGTCTAGCATTGATCCATAATCTGTTAGCTGTTGTAATGGCCTGCATCAGCCGATGCACCGTCGCTTGATAACGGCTGCCTTGATACTACACGCGGTAAGACAATCTTGATCAAGATTGTCTGCTACGGTAATACTTACATTGATATTTTAAGTGACGCCCAATGTCATGCAGCAGGGTCAATCGCTACATAAACGGATCTGTCAAACTATCCTGAAGTGTTGTCGCCAACAAGTGTCCTAATTTTTTTGTACAGCGTAATGAGGGGAACGTGTCGTACGTCTTTATGCATGTATGTCATTGCTAACATTTTTGTTCTGCTAACGGTCGTGGATATCCACCTACTACCACATCACGACGCCTGTAACGTACGCGCAAGAAGGAGCAATTGTGGGGGCTATAGGGCAATGAATAAAAGATACCTGACTCAGCGTCACATTAATTGGCATCGAATAGGCGTAATAATATTTCGGGTAATACAGTAAGGTTAACAGACAGGTATGGATCAAAAGGCTCCACTTTTGGTCCCCTGTCCACCCCACTTTCGAAATGATGTTCTTCTGATGTAACTTCGTATTGCATTGTTTAGTCTGGTAGCTGCCAACGCGGCCTCGATGCGCATAAGAAGAACACTTCATCTCGTGTTTGCTCCATTCAGTCGACTTCTACTAACCCATAGTCTAAATCTAGAACCGACCAAAGGGCGCTTCACAAAGCCCTGACAACCCAAACGACCAATGGCCGCCAGCACTTCAACGGACGTACTGCTCTCGTCGGACCTGGCGCTGCCACGTCCAAAGCGCAGACGTCTCGAGCGTGAATCCACCACAGCTGCGACACTATGCGCTCGTCATCCTCTGTGTCCAAACGGCGCGTCCGTAAACGCGCAAACGGCGACCGAAGACAGGCGTTTCGACTCGAGTTCCTCAGACAGGAGCGAACGGCACCACAAGAGCACTCCATACGTCAACTGTAGCGACGCCATCAGTTCCGCCAGCGAACAAGATGCACACTGTCGACCGACGCGACGTCGTCAATCGTTTGGCTGTGAACACGAGGGATGCAGCAAGCGCTACGCCAAGCGCGAGCACCTGACGCGTCACGTTGAGACGGTGCACGTGCGCGGCGCGACGCAAGCGCTGGAAGTGCGTAAGCCCTTCAAGTGCGATCTTTGCCAGGCGCGATTCACGTACAATCACGGACTGACGCGCCACGTGAAGCGGTCGCATTGGAACGTGAATAGGCCGTTCGAGTGCGCCGAGTGTCGGAAGGGGTTTAAGAAGAAGAGCGAGCTCCAAGCCCACTCGTACGTGCACACGGGCGTGCTGCCTTTTGAGTGCAAAGAGTGTGGCGAGCGGTTTATGAAACGGTTTCAGATGACACGGCATCAGCGGAAGCACAGCGTCAACAAGAGCGCAGACACAGAAGTGTACGTGTGCGACTGTGGAGAATTGTGCTTTGACGAGCAAGAGCTAAAGGACCACAGGCAAGCAGAACACGGACAGGAGACTGGCGCTGAAGCTCATGGGGAAGCTATGGAGCAAGAAGCGTGTAGGCATGTGTGTCTCGTGTGTGACCAGACGTTTAGTCGGAAGCAGTCTTTGCGTGCACACCTGCGCACGCACTTCGAGTCGCTGGACGACCGTAAGCTGTACACATGTCCGGTGGACGGATGCGAAAAGGCATACACGCGCCCTTCGAACCTGATGACACACTACAATGCGGTACACGACGAGCACAAGTCGAAGCGCTTTGCGTGTCCGCGCGAGGGCTGTACAGCCCGGTTTGGCTACAAGACGGTTCTAGCGCACCATATCGAGAGCATCCACGACAATCCCAAACCACCGAAACGAAGCGAGCGCCAGTCTGCGGGCATCCTCGAACGAGCACTAGGGGTGAACCAAGTGGGGGACCAAGTACTGCAAGCTGCTGCAGGAAGAGCCGAAGAGGAGACGCTCGTAACGGACTTGTAGTGGACTTTCAATATACATGCACTACGTATTGTACAGTCAAGACGCGACACGACCGATGTCCTGGTCCTTCGTCGACTGCACAAGATCCTTCGCCGTGGGCGATATCTGGCAGAACACCACATCAATATAGGTTGTTGTCACCCGTCAAGTTTGCGACATACTCCTTGTAGCGGTTGCACAATGCGTAGCAGTATTAGTAAGTGTTTGTTTCAACTGTCGTCGTGTCTTCTTTACTTTTTACCTACCAAAGGACTCGAGATATGCAGCATTGTCCAGCGAGCAAAAACGAGAGCATGCAGTATATCGAGAGCTCACAACTAGGCACGATAAAAGAGAACGCGACCGCCTCTATCTGTACTTGTCACAGCACCGTGTTCTCGCCGTCTCTTCGGCGCTAACTTACACCTTGGGGCCAAACTTGGAGTAATCCGTGACGTCTGCCGACACGTACTTCGTAAAGTTGTCCTTAAACATACCCGCCAGCTTCTTGGCCGCAACGTCGTACGCAGCTTTGTCGCTCCAGGCTTTGCGCGGATTTAACACGCTCTCCGAAATGCTGCCAAGTTTCTTCGGCACTTGGAAACCAAAGTTCGGGTCTTCCACAAATTCCGATTGCTTAATCGAGCCATCCAAGATGGCGTCAATGCATGCACGCGTGTCCTTGATGCTCATGCGCTTGCCGACGCCGTAACCTCCGCTCGTCCAGCCCGTATTGACAAGATAGACGTCGGTATTGTGTTGCTGCAGCTTCTTCTGCAGCAGGTCGGCGTACTTGGTCGGGTGAAGAGGCAAGAACGCGGCGCCAAAGCAAGCGCTGAAAGTCGCTGTGGGTTCTGTGACTCCACGCTCGGTGCCGGCAACCTTGGCGGTGTATCCAGACAGAAAATGGTACATCGCCTGGCCGTCACTCAACTTGGACACAGGCGGCAAGACGCCATAGGCGTCGCACGTCAGAAAGACCACATTCGACGGGTGACCGCCGCTCGAGGTCGGCTCGTGGTTTGGAATGTGGTAGATGGGGTACGACACCCGGCCGTTCTCGGTCTTGGACGTGTTGTAAAAGTCTGGCTCTTTCGTCTCAGCGTCCACGAACGTGTTCTCGAGCAGCGCGTCGCGCTTAATAGCGTTGTAAATGTCCGGCTCGTTCTCACGACTCAGGTTGATCGTCTTTGCGTAGCATCCACCCTCGAAATTAAAGATACCTTCATCGTCCCACCCGTGCTCGTCATCACCAATGAGGTACCGATGCGGGTCAGCCGACAGCGTCGTCTTGCCCGTGCCCGATAGACCAAAGAACAGCGCCGTGTCGCCATTCTTGCCCATATTGGCCGAGCAGTGCATGGCCATGATACCATCGAGCGGCAGCCAGTAGTTCATCATGGAAAAGATGCCCTTCTTCATCTCGCCGCCGTACCACGTGCCGCCAATGACGGCCACGTCCTTTTCAATGTTAAACGCAACAAACACCTCCGAGTTCAGGCCGTGCTGCTTGTAGTCCTGATTCGTCACGCGGCAGGCGTTGACAATGGTAAAGTCGGGCTCAAACGCTGCAATCTCGTCCCGCGTCTGCGGCCGCAGAAACATATTGGTCACAAAGTGATGCTGCCACGCCAACTCGGTGAGGAAGCGCACTTTCTTGCGCGACGCCGCGTGCGCGCCAGCGTAGCCGTCAAACACGTACACCTTGTCCGCTTTGCTATAGTGCGTGGTGACTGTGTCGTAGAGCGCGTCAAACACGTCGGCGCTCACGGGCCGATTGATCTCGCCCCACCAAATGTTGTCGGTCGACGGCTTCTGGTCCACAATGTACTTGTCCTTGGGCGAGCGGCCAGTGAACTTGCCCGTGTCGATCGTGTACGTGCCATTGCGCACAAACTCTCCTTCCCCGTTCTTCTCCTCGTGCACGGCAATCTCTTCGTAGCTCAAGTTGTGGTGCACCTGCGTCTTGGCATTCGTGACGCCAAACTTTTCAAGGCCAAGCGACGCGGCGCGAGCGTTCGCAAAGCGGCGCAGGGTAAACGACGACGACGACGACAGGATCGGGACCCGTGGGCGCGAGGCGCGGCAACTCGCGCGCAGAGCAGTTGGGAACATTCGGATCCAGTGGCGCTCTTTTCGGGCTGCTTCGGACGTGGAAAATTCAACTGTGAACTCGAAAGCAAAGATCGGAGCTCGGCCGCGTGCTCTTTTTATGTCCGTGTTCAGAAGTCCTCTCGTCAGCACGAGACGTCGTCGGGGCTGAAGAGTGAGCCGCGCGGCCGCTGTGATTGGACGAAATCGGTTGACCACGTTGACCAATCCAGCAAAGAACGAGCGGAAAGGGCGTGCACCCCTACCCGCTAGACGACGCCCAGCGACGTGACCAAACTTTGAACAATGCCGAGCGCCGACGCGGTGCTGTCACGTGATTGGTTGGCGGTCGCTGGCGCAGCCACGATTGCACCAACTTCAAGTGCGTCGGCGCGTGGCCGGGCCAGCAACGGCCTGTGACCCGAAGCGAAACGTCGGCGCGTCACACACGGCCGTCTCGTGATTGCAGTTCCGGTGCGGGCCAAGCAAACGATCGACCAGCGAGTGCCGAATTGCTGGTCGATTGTGCGCTGACGGGTTTGCTCGCCCTGTGACGGTACATTCGACGGTAACAAACAGCACCCTATGGCTCACCACAAAGCGCTGGCCCAGCGCGTCGCTGCTGCCTTCGAATTGGACGCGTGACGCGCTTTCATCACTGCTCAGCACGAAAGACGGATGGGAGAAGTTGCCTCGTGTGCCCACCTATTCGACGGGATGTCACTTCAGCTTCGTCACATGCCTGTCTTTCCCCCCGTCCCCTGTGTTGTTTTTTGCCTTCGTTGCTCGCATCACGGCAGGTGTCAGCCCAACTAAAGTGTAGCTTCGGTAGACCCGTAAGCGATTGCAGGTACTCGTGTGACCTGTCGTGAGGCAACAAGCAGCCAGCAAAATGAGCTACGGATGGCAGGCATGTGCTTGCGAGCTGCTTTTTACTTGCGTGGCACATCGCTATGCATTGGGTGAAAGCACGACGAGCACACCACTCGCAGTTCCATAGACTTCGTCTTTCATCGATGAAAAAATGCCATGCTCTAAGGTTTCAATTGGATGTTGTTCGGAGAGACAGCAAGTTACACGTGAGAGGACAAAAAGACAGTGGTCCTGGAAGCGCGTTGATGCGGACGCTCACACGATTGAAACATGCAAGTAAGGCGTTCTCTCAATTACGTGACTGTAAGTTGCTGCGTCAAGCCACTTATGCTGTACACGACGTCCACGCTGTAATAATTCAGTAAAATGTGTCGAAATCGGGTTGATAAGCTTATTTTTGAAATTAAACTCAGCACACTATAATCTTAGACGAACGTCCTTTTTCTTTCTAGTTTCTAAGCTTATATTGACGATAGTGTGCCAGCTGCGTAGAGACGTACTCACCTTGCAATAATGCTTTAGCACAGGACAAGATGTAATTTTTCTTGACTCAGCCGTGTGCGAGTAAGTCGCCAAGGTGTGACCACGAATAGAATTTGTAGTGTTATGTCAATTTCCCAGTAGTACTCATACCAGACAAATGGGCTCACGGAATTGGGCGTGCAATGAAGCTACGGCACCCTCCGAGTGTAACGGGGCACGCTCTTACCAGATGACTGGTAAGACTTTGTTAAATGGTACAAAAAGCTGCCTACTCCCGAAGTCACGTACACGTGGTGTGAGGGAGAGCGAGGAAGTAAAGAGAACTTGGAAGCTATGTTTAAGGAAAAGTAGAACTCTATTTAATACCAAATAGTTTATTTACTAAACCATCTTTGTCCTAATCCAACTACAATAAACTACAACCCCCTATGTCGGTTTCTTGCTCACCACCCATTACGCGCGTCCAGCAGCGATTAGGAACATATTTTGTTATGCAGACGCTACATCAACCAATGAGTCGAGCACCGAAGAATATTACCCTCAGGGGTAAGATTTCGCCAACAGTACATCTTCTCGAGTAATGTTAATTAAATATTATCGAAATAAATATTACCCAAAAATTGATACATTCGTGTCAATTTTATGTAACGGGCTCACCCCGTTACCAAGTAAATGTATCGTTCAAGTATTCCTGTAGAACATAGCGGTTGCATTATTGGCATCAGGTAAAGACATTCGCGCTTGATTCTCGCAGCACAAGCAATGGTTAATGTCATACATCATAAACTTTGCAGTCGTAACAAACTTCGCAATTGGACGACTCCACACAGCATAGACGCTGTATGTCGCGAAGCTACTTTATCTCCTTGCCGGAAGAAGGCTTTATGATCAACGAGCAACTTGGTCCTTTAGAAGAACTCGACTCTACGATTCAATAATCCTAAAAGCTTAAGGTTCTAGCTCAAGTGACCTAATGGAATGAATCAAAAGCACGAAGTGCTCAAGGGAGAGAGAGAGAAGTTTCAGAGTTTATTTTGGTACGCGAACTACCCACTATATCCGGATTTGTTAGCCACTATCTGGTGATGTATAATCGTACCGCCCCTCGCGGCTATAGATTCACGTACCTCCCGGTCTCGGATCCAGTGCTCATCCGCTCGGCCACGGGGCTCGGTGATGAAGTGCTCAACCGTTCTACTGTTGCATAAGGACCGCAGCTGACACAAGGTACGTTAATGAAATCAGTTCCTGGCATCATCAAATTCACTCGATCGATGCTATGATGACACAAGGGCTACGTGATAGTATACTTGTGCTTTCCGTGTCGCCAGTGTTCGACGGAATACACCAGAGCGAAGAGGAAAGAGTGGAAGTGTTGCACGCTAGTGATTAGTGTATTTCAGTTATCCTGTAACTTATTCAGTTCACAATTTACACCGAAGTACTCGAGTCATACATCAACCGACAGTCAAGAGTCACTGTTGTGTTAGGGGAACTACGACATGTGTAAACCTAGAGAGCGGACACGTCGTTATCCTGAGAATATCTACACCTTAACCAGGCTTGACTACTCTTACAAGATCTGAGACACCTTAGCAAAGCACGTGTCGATAACAGATCAAAATAGGAGCTGAATAATATGTGTTTTACGTAAAAAGACGCCTTGTCCAAGCCTACATAATCTATATACTAATTCCCTGAATTAGTACTTTTTAACGATCTCTCATCAGGCGGCTGACTCACGTCAGATCCAAAAAACTGATGTAAGTATTCTGATAATACTTATATAGATGGTCATCCTAAGTGTGTACCATACCTGTTATACCATTTATCAACCTCCGTGTAATTTCCGTTACACTGTAGCGTAGATGGTATAGCTTCTCGCCAGAAAAGAATCAAGGTTTAAAGAGCAACTTACTTTAAATGAGAATAACGGCTCTACGAGTCAACACAGCTTAAGAGCTACCCGTCTCGGTTTACGGGACGATTTTGATTCAGTGGATCCACATCACAGGGGAATAAAGAGTCGATGCTTTAACAAAACTACCAGATTCTTCTAACCGATCAAAGACGCCTTAAGAAGGCACGTGCATCAAGATGATAAAAACGGGAGCTGATGCTGATTTACTATTGAAAAACGAAGGTTGAATGCCCCTTCAAAAGATAAAAGCAAGGTTTTACCCTTTACTAATGTACAACCCGCAAAGTATTTCTCGAACCTGAAATAACACATACTCACATGAGCAGCGCACCACACGGTACACGTACATATATCATGGTGTGCTACTTATAGTGTGCCATTGTAAAAAAGCCGAGTTTAGATATCCTAGAGCGCTAAGGGTCATATCAAAACCAAGAAACTATTTGAATTCGTTTATAATATCATAACGCTGACGATACACTATTATTGTAATAACGGAAATTGTAAAATGATAAGCCCGCTATTGATCAAACTGACGTCATATAAATATCAATCCGGATTTTTGTCCATGTTACACATTATTTAGTGTTTTTTTGCTTATTAGATAATGTAAGGCATCATACCGGCCAAAAAAGCGTGCAACGAGTGATGCACCCACGCTGTTAAAAGTGATCAGGTATACATCATGCATATGTAAGACTTAAACAACGTAAGCAAGTGAGGTGCACAAATAGAACAAATCATTAATTTCTTATATTATTGTAATAGCCTTTTTCATTCTATGATTATAGCAGGTTTATTCAGCCTGTACCTGCGCACGTTGTTTGCAAGATATCAAGTTCAATAATCTTACACTGTCATCAGCGTTGATAGCTTGCAATGTAGTAATTGCAGACGTGACGTGTCCCGGCAACGTGCCCACGTGTGTTATGCAAGCCCAGTGTGAAAAATACAGCCCAGTCTGCAGAAGATTGACCACCAATTCAATCGCCGTTTTACATAGATGCTAAAAGTGTGTCGGACATTATACAACTGTAGCTTCTTGATATAGTTACCGCTGTAAATGATCCCCTTGACGATGACGCAGTATTGGTCAATGAGAAGTGTGTTGCTTTTTCTCTCGACACTACAGTACCGCATCCAGCATCATCGATAATAATCGTCATCAACGTATCGTAGTTTTACGATGGTCAACAACTAAAGTGTTTATAGATCGAAGACCTTCATACACCTACAATGTCATCAAACGTTGGTGCTGCAAAATATCTACACCACCCAACATCCTACATCAGTCGTTTAACAACTTCTGACAACCACTTCATTGGTCATCAATCTGCTCAATGCCAGCCAACACTTTACGGGCAACTGGAACTCATACAAGAGATATCACATGTCGAAGAATTGTATAAATGGTCTCTCATTCTGCTCAAAAGCGACTGCACTGAAAAGTTTCGTATTATGCCGCAGTGAAAGCCTATAAAGCGAGGATGACGGAAGTGGAATCGACCTTGACGAGTGCTTAATAATTCACTAGTACACGATAAACTAAAAATTATTCAGGTCTGACGTAATAAGTTTAAGGCATTTCAACCAGAATAATAAAGATTTTGCAACATTAATTTGGCTTCTCTTCCCGAAGTAACTTCTCCACTCGTCGCGACAACGACTGCAATAATAATATCGCCTATTAATTGGGATGCATGAAGCGGTAAGCTATGATATATGTACGAGGTTTAAGCAGGCGTAT